AACAACAACAAGAGCTGGTTTAACACTTCTTTAAAAAAAAAATAGTTGAAATAGTACAAGAAAGCCATTCAGAGACTAATTCAGCCAATCCCAGCACTAGGGAGGCAGAGACAAGTGGATCTCTGAGATTGAGGCCAACCTGATCTACAAAGTAAGTTCCAGGAAAAGCTAGGGCTACATGGAGAAATCCTGTCTCGAAACGAAACGAAACAAAACAAAACAAAACAAAAGAGTAAGAGAGACAGCTGTTATGGATAGGATGATGGCAGGGAGTCCAGAGGAGAGTCAGACAAGTCCTCCAGACGAAGGCAACTATCTGGCTTTTCTGTACTTTCAGGGAGTGCTGGAGGCCCTACACCACGTGCTTTAGAAGGAGCCTAGAGGGGCCAGGTACTGGGAAGTCAGCACATGGCATAACTCTCTGGGGAGGTGGTTCTGTACACAAGCACAAGCTGGGTTCAAATCCCCAGCACCCACATGGTATGGCTGCCTGTGTTTGCAGCCCCAGGCCTGTTGTAGGCAGAGACAGTGGTACCGTCTGGGGCTTGGTGGCTGCCGGCCTAGCTCAAGGATCAGGGAAAGACCCAGCCCCAAAGGAGAGTGACAGCTGGTATGGATAGTTTGAAGTATTTGGCCTCTATAATCTTACAGGGAGTGGCATTATTAGGATGTGTGGCTTTGTTGGAGTGGACTTGGCCTTGTTGGAGGAAGTGTGTCTCTATACTCAGGATACTGCCCAGTTGACTTCCTGTTGCCTATAAGATATAGGACCCTCAACTACTTCTTCAGCCCCACGTCGGCCTGCATGCTGCCATGTCCCACCATGACAATAATGGACTGAACCTCTCAACTGTAATTGAGCCACCCCAATTAAATGTTTTCCTTTGTAAGAATTGCTGTGGTCGGGATGTCTCTTCACAGCAATAGAAACCCTAAGACAGCCAGTGTTGTTCAAGTTTATTCCTGGGGGAGATGTAAACACTGTCCACCCTCTCTTCCTCTTCCTCCTGTGGCTCCAAAGACAAACCAAGGAACCATTCCACCGCAGTTTACCCCGGTGAACCAGTGAGTTTATTAGGCTCACAGAGCAATGGGTGAGAGTGTATGGGCACCAGTGTGGGTGGCCTTGGAGCAGCCCCACTGGAAGGTCTGAGCCCCGTAGGGGCGATGACTCTCCATGGCTGTGTAGATGGGTTCCTCCCCCAGTCCGCCCTCACCTCTACACTCTATCCCCTCCCAAAGACCCAAGGCCTCCCTCGGTGAGGGCACAATTGCATGTATAACTGGTTGGGACAGGGAGATGGATACTCAGGTAAGTGTCCTATGGCCCCCTTGGTTCCTCCTTCTGAGAGGGAACATCAACTGTCAATAAATCCAGCAGTGATGATCTTTGTTGAGCAGGCCGGGCTGAACTCCTGCAGATGGTGGCTCTGGAGACAGTCCTGTACAAGAGCAGGGCATCAGATGTCCTCCCCTAGCTTCTTCTCTGGCATGGACCCTTACACCTGCTCATAATGTGCATATGGTATGCAAGAGCGCATATACACACACACACACATACACCACACACATACACACTAATAAAAAAGAACAAAAAGCCGGGTGTTGGTGGTGCACGCCTTTAATCCCAGCACATGTGAGGCAGAGGCAGGCGGATCTCTGTGAGTTGAGGCCAGACTGGTCTACAGAGAGAGTTCCAGGACAGTCTCCAAAGGAATACAGAGAAACCCTATCTAAAAAATAAAAAACCAAAAACAAAACAAAAGAAAAAGAAAAAATCAAGGCAGGGTCTCAACTATATGGCCCTGGCTGGCCTGGAACAATCTTTGTAGATCAGGCTACCTTTGCTTCCTAAGTGCTGGGGTTGAAGGTGTTCCTCACTTAAAATTTAAAGATAATGAGTTAACTTTTTGAATCACAATAGGTTCAAAGCACTTGGCCAGCAGTTTATGTGTAGAAGACAGAAGTGATAGCCTGGCATGGTGGTGCATGCCTTTAATCCTAGCACTTGGAAGGCAGAAGCAGAGGATCTCTGTGAGTTCAAGGCTAGCCTGAACTAGAACAGAGTGAGTTCTAGTACAGCTAGGGCTATTACACACACACACACACACACACACACACACACACACACACACACACACTATCCAAAAAAATAAAATGTAAGTTTCAGAGATAGCTTGTGTTCTCTGCAGGTATCTGCCTGTCTGTCTGTCTCTTCTTTGTGTGTACCCCATCCCATCTGTATGTCTCTATCTCTATGAGGAGGAAGAGAGCTGCAAATCATTCTATGGGTTGGTTATTCACTAGAAATGTACTTATTATTACATCAGTTTATCTAATGTATTGCCCCAGTCACTCCTTCTGGGTCATTTACTGAGTTCTTAGTATTTTCTGGGCTTCGTCCTAGACACTAGGGTTGCAGTTCAAAGCTAATTGATCTTTAATAATGGCAAGGCTAATCATACTCCTGAAACTTTTACAAGTGCTTTGCCTGACTTTGGGAAGTCATCGGTGGCTCTCTCTTGTCCTATTGTCAAGATGAAAGGATTCAAGGGACTTGACTTCCTCTCTTAATCCAGCCACGACTTTCCCAGTTTCCAAGCACAGTGTTGATTCCCTGAACTGAAATCTTCTCTCTGTGATAAATTGAAGGCCAAGCCTGGGATATAACTGCCAGCGGATTGTTTGCCCAGAGTGCCAGAAGCTCTGGTTTGATTCCTAGCACTGCGGGCACTAAGTGTGGTAGGTAGTGCACACCTGTAATCCCAGCACTCTAGAGGTAGATGTCATCCTCAGCTAATAGCAAGTTCATGGCCAGCCTGTAATATAGGCAATCTTGTCCATAAATAAATAAATAAATCACATGGAGGGTGCTAGAGCAGGTGTACCTTTGAAAAGGTATACAAAGAATGTTAATAACTATGTAGAAGAGAATTCTGGGTTCCAACCAGTCTATGCAATGCTAAAGCCAATAAATAGATTTCCCTTCTCCTAGGAGTCTCAGAAATTTTCCTGTGCCGAGTTTTCATCATGTCTATTCAGGTGTGGGAAAGTAGAACTCTCAATGTCCTTCAAGACACACTTGGAAGGTGTATAACTAGATGTCCCCTGGGGCCCTTTAGTTTAAGTAAATCCCACTAACTTTGGATCAATTTCATGTCACATGTAGTTTGTGTCCCATTGTTTATTTTATTCTGTGCTTTTGACTCTCTGGTGGGTGGGGCAAAATCTTACCTACCCTGGATACACCATTTTCAAAACTACAGATCTTATTAATATGTTGGACAATAATGGGCAGAAGGTGTAAATGGGCTGTTTTACGGGGTGGGGGTGGGGGCATTATCCACGGTGCATCATAGAGGAGCCGATTCAGGGGAGAAGGGTGAGCTAAATGAATGCGGGGAACAACAGCACTAACAAAGCAGATTTCTGAGAAAACTTTAAAAAGCATAACTTGACATTTTGAAGACTAACACATCGTTCCCATCACAGAATGGCAGTTCCCAACACAACTGTTAGGACTCAAAAGTGACAGGGCCGAGTGGCTCTGTGCAAAAGTCTGTGTCCAACATCTGTCACTCTAAACATTATTAATGTCCAATCGCATCCCATTGTCTTCAGGTTGGTCAACTTCATTTTGCTGTCAGTGCTTCAGCTGCGGATTGATAAACTATTTATGGGAGGGCCCGGCTTGAAGTCAGGGAGATGGTGTTGGGTTGTAGTCTGAGGTGCTGGAGGGGAAACAAATCCAAGCTAAACGGCTCTTGGCTTGTATGAGCATATAGATGATTGAATCAAACAAAAATATCTGAGGGTATTGCTGACATACCCATGTTTCAGAAGGAGAGAGGACTTATATTCAGCCCTTCCTAAAATGTATTGAAACTATTTGGAGCCTGTTTCTTTGCCTCTTGATTCCTTTGAAACAAGCTGAGATGAGAGAAAGGAAATCAAAGGTTTCTCTGTGTAAATCAAATAATTATCAGTGGTGGAATCATGTTTTATTACTGTTCTTGAAGACAGATGACATACTAGAACATTGAGGTCCATTAAGAACTATTTTTGAAACTCCCAAATTATTTAGATGTCTCCATTTTGCACATACGTGTATGTGAAAACATTTTATTGCATTTAAGTGCTAAATAATGAAGTGATTGGTTATCATTTCAGTGTGTGCACCACAAACATTAATGAGCAAATAAATAAATAAATAAAATGAAACAGAGATGCTGAATTAATCTGCCAAGGTCTTGGGATCTGTGAAACTCATTCACATAATTAGCATAGTATCAAGTTGAAAATAGGCACATTCATGTCTACTTTGTAAGTTGTTTCATGGAAATTATTTGCCGAGTCCCATTCCAGGTCTGCAATAACATTAGGACTTCCCAATTTGTCTGAATTGATTTAGTAAATTAAGTGAAAGTGTTAATATTTTAGAATGTAAAATTGCCACTTCTCAGCAAAGCAAAACCTAACAATGTCAAAATCAACGTCTTCACTCCATTGTTTTCTACTTAATCATTTAAAAACCTGGGCTTTGTTTTTAATATGTAAGCTGCCCGCTGGTATGGGAAAAGATGGACCACGCTCTCCCCTCCACCCCCACCTTGTTATTCTATTGGGGACAGCCAGGCCAGGCCACTCCAGATGGTGCGTTAGTTAGTGCTGGACATTGCTTTGGAGAAACTTGAACAGACGAAGGCAGTAATGTTAGGATTTTGCTGTGCGTCTCCCTTCCTCCCCCCCCCCCCCCGCAGTTCCCAGGGTAGGAAGGTGCTGAGATGGAATCGGAGGGACGCCCGCCCACCTGCCACCACCTGTTCCCTCTTTGAGCCCTGGGCTATAAATTCTCCTCCCTCACCGCTTCACCCAGTCCTCTCCAACATTTAGACATCTACTGCGGGCGGTCCTGACCTAGCTGAGTTCCTTCGAAGATTTCATCACCCCGAAAAGCAGTCTCAGGCTTTCCCAGATAATTGGCAGGGCCTTCTTCCCCTCATCCACAGAACCACCCGCAGCAAACTGCAAGGAAGTTTCCTCCTTGTTCAACTTCACGTGGTTGTGGGGGAAAATGACTTTTCCCTGAGCATCCCTTCCAGCTGCATCTGGGGAAGGGAAGAGACATCAGCCGGACAGAAGCCAGGGTCCCCCACTGCCCACTGTACACTGACTGACTGACTGCACGTGAGTCACCCCGGCTGTGACTTATTCACTCCCCGGAGCCACGCAGATCCGCAGCGTGGATGAAGTCGGCCTGCAAACCACACGGCTCTCCGGCGGGAGCGCGCGGCGCGCCTCCGTGCGCCGGTGCAGCCGAGCGCGCAGCGGTCTCGTGCACGGCGCCCGGGCGGCTGGAGAGCGCGGCGCGCAGGCGCCTGGCGGCCAACGCGCGCGAGCGGCGCCGCATGCAAGGGCTGAACACCGCGTTCGACCGGCTGCGCCGGGTGGTGCCGCAGTGGGGCCAGGACAAGAAGCTGTCCAAGTACGAGACGCTGCAGATGGCGCTCAGCTACATCGTGGCGCTCACGCGCATCCTGGCCGAGGCCGAGCGGGACTGGGTGGGGTTGCACTGCGAGCAGCGGGGTCGAGACCACCCCTACCTTCCCTTTCCCGGTGCCAGGCTTCAGGCTGAGTCCGAGCCCTATGGCCAGAGGCTCTTCGGCTTCCAGCCCGAGCCCTTCCCCATGGCCAGCTAAGCCGCACGGTGTTTAGGGTGGCCTGCGAGTCTTAGGAAGAAAATCAGTCACCTTTGCGGTTAATTTCCTTCGCCTTTGAGACCGTAGATGAAATAGTTTCGTTGCTCTCCTTCCTTCATTTTTCTTGTGTTTTCTAGATTTCATGAATGGACATTGTGAATGACTTTGGGCTGCTATGAAAATAATGCCCTACCACTTTAAGCTTAGTACCTGGGGCTGGGGTCTATCTGAGTTGGTAGAATACTTGTCTAGCCTGTACAAAGCCATGGGCTCGTGCCCCAACACCTCACAGGCAGAAGGCTGGTGATCATGCCTATAATCCTAGCATCATTTGGGAGGGAGAGGAAAATAAATGGGACCCTGTCTCAAGGAAAAGAATTCCTTTATTGATCAAAATTGGATTGCATTGGGCTGGTATTGAGTCATCGGACAAAGCGCTACCTTCTTAAACTCTGCAAGTTTGTTCTGATTGGGTGGAGTTATATTAGGTGTCTTGTGTGTGTTCAGAGCAGCTACCTTGTCATGGAAGTGCATTTATGTTCCGAATACTGTGTGTGCATGCAGCAGGTGGAGTCAGACTTTTATTTTCCGGGGGGAGGGGCCTGGTAGAGTACTTGGACATGAGCGCTCTGTATTTTTTTAACTATGTACACATTGAAATATAGATTTTGTAAAATACAACTACTGTGTGTTTGAAACTTACATATTTACTAGTTTTCTGGGTGGGGTGATGCTGAGTGCTTCCCCGATATAGACAGGGAGTGTTTTATCCCACTACATCTGGTGTACTGGCTCACTTTATAATCCCAGCTGTCCCAGAAGCTGAGGCAAGAGAATCACCATGGGTAATATTAAACTAAACTAAAATAACATGCAGCTTTCAGGTACTAAGAATTAAGAATTCACTATTTTAGTTTCCTTACTAAGCCAGTTTCTGAACTTCCTTACAAGTACCCAGACATACTCATTCCAACATCCATACACATAATTTGTACACATCCACTGAGGCTTTTACACGGAGAAGAATGTCTATTTCTGTAACAACGGAAAAATTAATGTTGCTTGTGGAGGTTCTTTATTTTTCATTAGTACAGTTTGAACAATGAAGGCGTAATTGCCATGATGGCTAGTCAAAAGATCGAGCAACGCACATGAAATTGATTTGAATTGCTTTCACAAGTTTGATTAGCCATGAACCAACGCTTCGTGTAGAGTGGCTGTGGCCAACGGCATTCATGAATCTGGTTGATAAGATGTGTAGAGCTAGGAAAAGCAGGACACTGAAGTTACCCATGCACTTGGAACTTATCACAGACCAAACAACAGCCCAGAAAGCTTTTAGATGATGGGTTCCAAAGCCCAACTACCAACGCAGCCTTGTGTATTAGATAAATCTATAGGACATTGCCATCAAAATTCTTTTCTTAGCATGACCTGGGGATATAGCCCAGTTGATAGAGTGCGTGCCTAGCCTGGCCCTGAATTTTATTCTCAGTGTGGTATGAAGTTCCTAGAAGGTGGGGGCAGGAGGGTCAGGCTACTTGGTGAGTTTGAGACCAACTTCTGCTACATGAGACTCTGTCTTTACATAAATAAATATTTTTGGTTGTGAGCCATCTCTCCAGCCCTCTACAAATAAATAAATCCATTGAGGCAACATGTGTATCTTTAAAAAAAAGTCTGGTTATTGTGGGCCCCACTGAAGACTGTTGTAGAGTCCCTTTCATCTGCTGCTTGTTAGGAAGACTCCAGTGGTAGCTCAGGACTTTGATTCTTCACTGCAGATTGTGGAGCAAAATGCTTAACCTCTTGACGGGCACTCATGCACACACATACACTGCATTTTAAAATCAATATTCTCATATTATTGGTCACTGGATAATCTTTATTTCACTGTTTTTCGAACAGCTACAGCACTTTTTTCTACTATCCACATCTGAAAATAATATTCTTTAAAAAAAAAATCAATTGCCTTCTTGTATGACAACTTGGCATATAGGCTCCCAAAGGGCACTGGACAGTTAAACCAACAACCTTTGATGGTGGGTCTCTAAAGCACCCCCCATAATATTTGCTTATATTTATTGCATCTCGGGAAAGGCTGAAGTATTGTGTATTGTGCCTATTTAGCAGTTAAAGACAGAGGCAGGCAGATCTCTATGATTTAGAGGTCAATCTGGTCTACAGAGTGAGTTCTAGGACACCCAGGGCTACACAGAGAAACCCTATCTTTGAAAGCCAAAAACCAAGAACTAAAAATCAAAACCAAACAAAACCAAAACAACACACACATACCAAGAAAAAAATTTTAAAAATGTAGCCAGGTATGGTGCCCTGTAATCCCAGCACTTAGAAGGCTAGACTCAGGCATGAAGATTTAGAGTTTAAGGCCAGCATGTAGTAATTAGTGAGAACTGAGTCAGCCTGAGCTACAGAGCAAGATTGTTTCAAAAATAAAATAAAACAAAATGTACACACATCAGGTCTAAATTTTTTATTGTCAAGTGATGTTTAGCAATTTTAATTTCACTTGTGTTAAGATCTTTTAGCAAACTACTGGTGTTTAAACAGCATTTATGCCTGCCCTCAGCATTCCCTGCCCAATCCTCAGAGATTTGGATCTTGTGCTCTTTGCCTATTTCTTGCAATTTTGAGGCTATGGCCCCTGAGAGTCTGAAGCAGCTATAACTTCCGTTTTAATAAAAGACTGTGTGTTTGCAGTTCTCTGAAAACATCAAGGATGCTAACTAATATAATTAGGCAGAAATCAGAGGTGAACATGTTTTTAACTAATATGCATTTTTTTTGCACTGCACACATTTTTATTAAAGAAAAAAACATGGTATTAGCAACTTTTTAGGCATACTGATGAGCGCCGCATTGTCAAGTTGGTAAGGTGCTTTGGTCATTAACTCTCTGAAACATTGGTCCACTTCAAACAAGAAAAGGCAACTTGTGGCATAAAGTGCTTCTGAAAATACTGGTGGAGGCCAGTGACTGGTCCTTCACCTTACTGGTAAGGGGTATAGCCTTTCAACTCAGTGGAGGTACTTCCCATCCAGGTTACCCAAGGACTCTGGAAGGATTTGAGTCAAGGATGAGTAAATTTGCTTATGCTTTGGTTTCTCTAGCAGCTTTGAGTTTATAACCAGCTTATAAATAGCCCAAGGATAGACAGGCTCAAGATTCCATCTTGTCGGGCTAGAGAGATTGCTTATGGTTAGCAGTGCTTGTTGCTTTTGCAGGGGACCCAGGTTTGATTCCTAGCACCCACATAGGGCAGCTCACATCAATCTGTAATTCCAGTTTCTGGAGATCTGATGCCCTTTTATGGAAAGCACGTGTGCACATCCTTGCAGGCAGTATGCAGACGCACATGATTAACATTAAAGAGACCCTATCTTGGAAAGCATTGACTGAGCACGTGGGGGGTAGGGGATGGAATGTAGGAGAAAGCTACCATGGGGAGAAGAGTTTGGGTGCTGGACTCAATTTCTGTATCTCACACCAGCCTTTTAATTTTGATTTTATTTTTTTTAAAGCTAGGTACAGAGGCATGGAGGAACCCGGGGTCCCTGGGGCTTGCTAGTCAGTCAGTCTAGCCAAATCAGTGCGCTGCCAGTTTAGTGAAAGACCCTGTCTCAAACCATAAAGTGGACATCTAATGATGGTCTCTGGCTTCTCACAGGTGCCCGTACACAAATCTCTATCTACAGCCATTCTATTGATTAGAAACAAATGGTGTCAGAGAGCAATTGCTTTTGAAAACGAAGCACACGTGTGACCTCAGAGGACTCTCAGGCGGGGCTGGTGAGATGACTCGGAGGGTCAAGGCTTTAATCAACCCAAATGACCTAAGTCCAATCCCTGGGATGCACATGGTGGGAGGGGAGACCTGACTCCCGCAAATCCTTCTCTGACCTTTGATCTCCATATACACACTATGGCATACGAATCCCTCCCTGAGAAATGTTTTTAAAAATTATTTTTAGGAAGACTTAGCCATTCATTCTGTAGCGTTCATGTGGAAGGCTTCCTTGGAATACCAAGCCTGGACTCCCTGAGTTGAGCTTCCATCATTGTGGAGGTGAGGAGAAAAACGCGGACTGGAGCTTGGGAGAAAAACGCGGACTGGAGCTGGGTAGCTGCGGAAGGACCCAGGCACTCTAGCCTGGACATATTAGAGACACAAAAAAAGAAGAAAATGAACTTTTTCATCTCTTCTGGTTGCTTACCCCAGTTTTCAGTCCTTGATTTTAACTCAATCTGGGTCTCAACCCCTTTGGCAAACCTCTATCTCCAAAAATACTTACAATTCATAACAGTAGCAAAAAAAAAAAAAAAAAAAAAAAAAAATTACAGTTATGAAGTAGCAATGAAATAATTTTGTGGCTGGGGTCACTATAACATGACGAACTGTAATTGAAGGGTCGCAGCGTTAGGAAGGTTGAGAACCACAGCTCCAGAGAGAGACATTTAGAATTCAGTCATGAATTTGATGGGCTCTTCTGGAGTCTCTTGGGAATCTAATATAAGGTGATAAGTATACAAGACAATATATTTTGTGTTTATTTGTAAACTAAAAATAAACATTTTTGAGTGTGTGTACATGACAACTTGCTACAGTTGGCTCTCTCCTTCCTCATATGAGTCCCCAGGGATCAAACTCAGGTCATTCAGTTTTGGAAGCAAATGCCTTTACTCACTGAACCATATTTATTGTGTGACAAGACTTTTCCTGGTGAGATTCACCCCTATTCATACATAATAGACAGACAGACAGACAGGGCAGGCAACTAGATTCACTGTCTATTCGACCCAGATAGGGAGCCCACAACAGATCAAGGTTACTCACAGGAGTCTGGGTGAGGGGTTTCTTACAAGAGCAGAAATGACTTCAAGACAGCTGCATCATCAAAGCCCACTCCAGCTCTCAAAAGCTTGGGGACCTGGAGCATACTGCACAACCTGCAGGCAGCTCAACGGGTTGGAGAGTGTCCTTTCCAGGTGGCTCAGTTGGTCTAAGCCTCTCCCAGGTAGCTGGTCTAGTCATCTGGGAGTGACACTTGGCTGTCTATATTGTTTAATATTGGGAAGGAGGGGCCTAATGAATCCGGTCAGTTTCGGTGCTCTATCACTGAGCTATAGCCCTAACGGTCTTCTGTGGTTAACAAGATATGTAAGCAAACATTTATAAAACAAACATGAATAATCTGAGGAAGCTTCAAAGAACCTGTCCTTAGAAAAGCCAGCTTTATCCCTA